ACAACGGTATCCTTTTGAAATAAACCCAGCTTGACAAGTAGAATTTTTCTGACATGGGCTGCTTCCACAAGGATTCTGTAATTAAAAAAATAGAAAGGACACAGTGCCTTTCGTTTGTTGTATGCTAAAAGCACGTGTGCTTCTTGAGGGATTACTATCATTATTACTGAACTTACTGCAGTTATTTTTAAGTCATTTAAAGTCTACAACTTCTCTAAACTTATTAAAATATACCATCCTCCAACTGTAAAAGGTGCTATTTCCATCAGGAAATTGAAAAGCCGCCACCTGTAGCTTGCAGCAAACATTGGAAACACGATAACGATGACACCGTTGTTTTATTTTCTGTCAATCGCGCCTTTTTTTTTGAAAGAATCGATTTCTCAGTTTTCATTTTGTCAAAGAACATACTTGAATAACCAACCTTGCGACCAGGCAATCTCGGGTATCACTGAACACAGCTCCAGTAACAGAAAACAGATCCAAGTGAAAGACATGGCACAAAGTCATACAGACATGGAGTTGTACAGTCTGAATGTTCCCCAGCTGTACTCGGCACGAGATTAGCTTCAATTAAACTCCTGTTTACTTTTCAACCAATGGCTGTCAAGAGTTCTGTCTATTTGCATTTTATGGTACAATTTCGTTGCACAAGAAGTCTGTGCAAGGTATTAAATAAATATGAGGAAAATTTTAAATATATTTTTAACAGAATAGCAAAGCGTTTAAACTCCGTTTCCATGGCCAGTTTTGCTTAATAGAGGCTGCAACGATGAAAGGCCGTCAATTGTTATGGTTATTTCTCCCGCTAACTTCACACGTAACCACCGTCATCGAACTTATACAAAGTTGTTTGAAATTCTCATCTTATTTAAAAGAAACCAACTACAGCGCTTTGTAAATGAACAAATTGAAGATGAGCAGATATTTTATTCCTGCATGTTCTGAATGGCAATGTGTATTTATTAGCGAGTGTTTCGATATGACTAAAGGTATGTGTTAAGTTATTTGAATAACGGTATATAAGCATTGAGTAGTAAAAATTGAGAGTTAGTCCGTCGGGTCTGTGAACACCTGCGCACACGCAGTTAATTTTAAGATGGACGAACTTTTAGCATCTCACCTCACGAACGCAGCA